TTATTTAGTATCTTTGACAAATAATTATTAGATTTATTTTGATGTTCAAGAGCTATCTCTTGATATTTATGATAATTATTGGCAAAAGTTTTTACTCGGTCAAAATATGAACTCCACCTAGTATCATTTGGTAAATGGGGCATCAAGGAGTTTTTTTCATTTGCCCATCCATGTGCTTGATGCATATTTCTAAAATATTTGTTAACTTCCACGATGTGTCCAATGACAGTATTAGGAGATAATTATTTTTCAACCAAATTTTAAAAAAACGTGAAAAAACCAACCAAGTGGGTTTTTTCAAGGTGGGCCCACCCGTGACCTTCGAGACTACTCTCGAAGGTCACGGCCCACCCAATAAAACCCGGGCGGGTTTTTTCAAAGTGGGCCCACTTGGCGAACCCTGTTAAAAATTAAAAATAATCACGGAAAACTTTTTAGATAAGAATTGTGATTTCTCGAAAACATATCACATTTTAGTTTTATTTAATTCACTAACATAAGTTTTTTTTCACCAAGTGTTAAAATTTTGGGAGAGAAATATATTGAGCAATAACCTTAGAAAGTTTTCAAGAAAGTGAATTGTTAGTGCTTAGTCAATGAAAGACTTAGCTTATATTTTGACTTCATTTTAATTCACAAAGATGCTATCAGTATAAGGATAGTAAATTTCACCAATTCCGAAGTTACAGACAGGAAATTAAGGTTAGGCATAATCTTTAATTTTTCACACATTCTTTATTAAAATGGGGAGTCATTGATATTTTTTTTTAATTTACACATAGAAAATCGGAATTCTTATTTAAATAAATTATGTTTTATACCTAATTTTACTAAGTCAATATCAATTAACTAAGATAAATTAAGTTGGCACCTTCTTACATGAACTGTGTGAATATAAGGAGGATTGCCTGATTAAATTCTTACACTAAAACTTTAAATTTGTTTCAAGCTTACATATATCATTTGTATGAGGAAATTATAATTGTTATACAAATACTTTGCTGAGGTAAAATATAATTCATCTAATGTTTTTCCCTTGAGTTCACGTTTTTTGTTCTTGGCCATAGATGGCGCCACTGAAAAACAAGAAACGCACTCTCTGCCTTAAATTGCTTGGCGAGCATCAGCACACCTCTGCATGCCACTAGCAAGCAAATATAGTACAATAAAATCAAAAATATAGTACATAATTATATTAAAAACTATTTTGGCGGTTTGGTTTTCACTTTGCCACAAGATAACGCTTACCACCGTCTAAATGTCAAAAAGTGAATAAATTTAATGTTACTTGAATGAAAGTAGTTACTGTATACAAAAAAAAAAAAAAAAAAAAAAAAAAAAAAAAAAAAAAAAAAAAAAAAATCTTCCATAATTAGAAATGACTTCCTAAATGGTGAAGAGTTCGTTATCACATTTCAACATCGTGGAAGTTGTTTAAAAACATTGAAAATGAGTGATTAAAGAATCATCTTAACATTGAACCAGAATGATGAAAAATATTTAACAGCGAAAAACTTGTTAATCTAATTCCTATGTGCAGGCAAATAATTACATGTAGTGAGAAAGGACCTTAAAACCTTCATTCACTCAGCTCTTCAATTATTATTTTAATTTGTTGTTGTTAATTTGTGATTGAGTGATATCGTTTGATTTAAAAAATATTACAAAAAGTTTCTTTAACAAAAGGAAGGAACTAACATTTTGTGAACATCTTATTAAAATAAATTCCTAAAATGGTTTTGAAATTTTTTAAAAATTAATAAATTTGCAATTTAACAGAAGGGTAATAGCTCATTTTTCAGTTGAAAAAAAAAGTTAACAAACTTTCTTAAAAAGTTGATTAAAAATTCATCACAAGAAAAAACATTGTGTACAATATGTTTATTTTTTTAAATCATAATAAAATATTTACAAAAATCTTACACATTAACTAATCTATTCCATTATATCTGTATAGCTCACATTTCTACAACAAAAAAAAAGAGAGGACATAAAATAATATATACATTTTCACCTTTGAAAGACACATTTGAATCCAGATAAAATATATTTAAGTACATTTTTTCCACAAAAGTAAAACTAGCTACGGAAAAACTTATCACATACAAACCACTCATACATATATGAAGATATTTTGTGCTTAATAGAACACAAAATTGAGCTAGTCTAAGTTATCCAAATTCTCAAAAAGTAATGCTGCCAAAAAAGCAGCAACAGTTATGAAAATGTTTTTGTTTTTTTAAAAAATGGTATAAACAATATAAATACTTTGTCATTGTAGGTTTACTATAGAAATATATAAGGAAAAAAAATACATTTCAAAAACAGATTGTCTCTATGCAAAAAAAAATATTTATTTCACATGACACAAGAATTTTAACAAGGTTAATAATGGGTGAGTTCTGTAACACGGAGCACTTCTGAATTGTTAAAACTGTTGCCAAGTGTAAAGAGTTTAAACGTCATAGTGAGAAAGTATTTCTTTTTCCATTTTTTTATGTTAACAAAGAATTTTAAAAATATAATGAAATTAAACTTCCATTTGTAATGGGAAAAATATAGCACTGTACAGATTTTATTTCTTATTGTATCTTTTTCATAGAAAAAAAAAGAAACATTTATTGGAAAATAGAGAATCTAGTAACTGTAATTTGAATAGACCAGAACAGTGTGGTAGATCTTTAAGTTCCTGAAAATCAAATATTAAAGTCTTTTTTATATATATTTGCTTTGTTTTCCTTATATATTGAAGTATTTTGAATACATAAAAAATTTACAAATTAAGAATTATGATGCCATGAATTGGATTTTCAAAAAGTCAACAGTTGAGAGAATATTTATAACTTCAAGGTTGAAGAGATTTGGAGTTTATATCACTGGTTATCCAGGTTTCAAAACTCACTCATTGACCGTTATAACCTGTTTCTTTTCCCATATGAACGATATGAATTCAACCCATTATTTACATTACATTAAAGTTACTTATTATGGGGCTAATAAAAAATTATAACAATTCCTTTACATTATAAGAATAATAATAAAATATTTTTTAATTTATTATACACAATATAATATATTAAAAACATTTCAAGATCAAAATATGAATATTGCACACAACCAGCAATGAGCTGTATGGGCTCAATCGACCCTTACAATGTATATCTAATTCCATTTAGTTTGCTTGGTATATTTATTGATTCACGCTCAGGAGGAGAAACTCTCTGAGCACTAGGAATAGTGGAAAATGGAAACATACAACGTAACAAAAATTTTATTACTTTTCTTTTTCCAATTGCAAGGGCTATAGTCAAAGTGGATTCTGAGAAAATGCTGCTCCTCTTAGTTTTTGGTAAAAACAAAAATTTAATTTTTGTATAAATTGAAGACAAAAAAAAAAATACGTAAAAAAGAAACTCACTTATCAACAAATAGGTAATTTTCAAACACTTGGATTATAGTGTTGATTAAAGAATTTCTCAAACGTAATAATGTTTTCCTTTTGGAAATTTAAGAAACTATTTGCATTGGGTACAAAATTTATACAGTTAAAAAAAAAATATATATCAATTATCGTATAACACACATTATTATAAAAAATAATAATAAATATTATAATAATAAATATTATAATAATAAATATTATAATAATAATATTATAATTATAATATTGTAATAAATGTTATAAAAAATAAATCAGGATCAATTAAAAAAAGCAGACTGCAGGCAAAATGTTTACTATTTTATAAAAAAAAAAAATTATGTTTTGTACGGGTTATGTGGAGCCAATGCTAAGTAAAAATATTCATATTTTGTTTATACAATATGAATTTTAAAGTTTCTATCTATTTATATTGTGCATTAAAGTACATTAATAAGTGGCAAGATAAACACAATTGTTTTGGCAGAAATCTTTTCCAATCAAATGATCTAAATCTTTTATATTTATACAAGACTGAAAAATATTTTGGGTTTTATTGTTGAATATTACCTCTTTTTTACAAATATGCTTATGTCTGGTAAATCCAATTTTTAAATAACATTTTTTAACTAAAAGAATCTAAGTAAAAATGACCATTTGAAAGTTGGTTTACAAACACGAAATAAGAGATGACAGTTTTAAGAAAGAGGTCATTTGATTTGTCATCTCGTAAGAGTAAGATCAACCTGCCAGCATGCGTGTCTGTGCAAATCTCATGACAAATTCAGTATTAAATGTACTTTTTTGCATACTGCAGAGCTGAAAGTCTTTTCTATTCCTCTTTTTAACTCTTTCTCACATCGTGGAATGTTCCAACAGGAAGTAAATTAATTTTTATTTTTAATCGAGGTTTTGTGTTACGTGGTTGTTTGTTCATAAAATTTACAACACACACTTGGTTGTTGCGAAAATTCAAAAATATTTCTTTCTTTAATGTTTTGTAATATTGTGTTAAAAATTGCTGTGTATTATTTTAATTTGTATAAAGTCGAATCTATAATTTTTTTATATCGGTTTTCATGGTTTCTAAAAAATATATACAATTTTTCCAGCATTCTTTGAGAATTGTCTGATGGGACAGAGAAAAAAGGAGGAAACAATTGGATTTGAGATTGATAGCTATTTGAGTGAAGAACGATATATTTCCGGTGATGACGATAATAATGATTCAGAGAAAAGAAATTATTGTTATGCATGATTGAAAAAAAAGGACACCATGTAAATGTAAAATAATTGCTCTCAAGTGATGGCACTGATTTGAAATAACGAGAGCTGTGATAGGCTACAAGAGGGGGGGGGGAAAGAGATAGCATTAATGAAATGCAAGACATACCTTAGATACACTTGCAAACATCATTCAGTTAACAAAATTATTTGCATGGAATGCTGTGAGAATTTCGAACAATGAGAGATCTCCTTAAATTTTATTTTTTTATTATTACTCTACTTAGCAGTGGCGGATCCAGCTGGGAGGTCATGGTTACTATGATTCATATTTTATTGCTTGAAATAAAAATAAAAATTTTCACTGGAAGAAATTTAAACAATAAACGGCTTTGATAGAATATAACTTAATATCACAAATAAAAAAATAAGTAAAATGAATGATATATTCAAAAGCTTTAAGAACAGTATGTTAGCATTGAAGACTCTAAAATGCAACTATTTAACTAATTACTTGATTAAAAACTTCATTTGCTTCAAAAATACACAAAATGGAAATATCATTTGCCATATGCACTCAAAAATAGAAGCCCATTTTCAAGACTTTCTAGACTGGAAAAAGATTTAATTGTGTTAACTGCAGAATCATAGTCAATACAGATAAGTTCACCAATTTTTTGATCTTGAGAGGAGCACTCCTGCCTCTCAACCCTACCACTACAGCCCTACTCACTGTCTTTAGGTGTTCTTGAAGATTGTTGGAGTTTTAAATTTCTATAAATGCACTGTAGGTAATTTAAAAAACATCAGTGCTATTGTTCTAGCAACCATATAGATATGTTTAATATGAAAGAGTATTACATGAAGTCCTGTTCTTTATAGTTTTCTATTAAAGTATTTTGATGGAAAAAAAGTTGCCACTTAATTACTTTGAAGTTTAACTAAAGACATCCAATTCTACACAAAATAGCAGCGTTAATATTTTTACAGCTCACCACTACACATAGTTAAAAAAAGATACATTCCAGGAAATATACGTAATTTTATACATACAAAAAGGTTGGAATTAAACTTGCATACACAATTAGTAATTTTTAAGACAAATACTGTCACAACCCAACTCAATATAATTTTGGTCGTTTCTGGCTTTAAATGACATAATCTTACAATATGAAACACACGATTCTAAACATTAATGTTTCATTTCAGATCAAACACATAAATAAAAATTATTGCAACATTGAAGCTACGTTACAATACCCCAGAAATAAAACTTTTTTTTTTTTCAAAAATATGATTCGAATAAACATTGGGTTAAATGTTTCTTTTTTTTTTTCTTCAATAAATTAAAAATGCTTGTCAATTATATCTTTTAAAGAATTTCGATAAAAATGAACATAATCTTGGCGGAAAATAAAATATAATGAAACTAAAGTAATACTTAACAGCATAATGACTTAGCTTTAAGGAATGTAAGTTTTAATGTTCAAATAAATATTAGTTACAAATAATTACTTGAACTAAATTCGATGTGGAATGCTAAATAAATTAATGCTATTTAAATATGTTTTCTGCCACACCATGCATCTGTTTTTTAAATAACTAGTAAGAAGAAAAAAAAAACTAATTATTTAAATAGATACACACATTATAATTCTAAGCAAAATGACGGATTTCTAAATATGGCGCAAAAAATTATTAATAAAATCATTTTTAAAAGATAAATTTTATGCTGTTGGCTTAGATATATTGCATAGGTTACAAACTTTGTAGTTTTATATGCAATGAAATCCCAATATTATATACATACAAGCTTATTTTTAGAAAATGTATCCCTATTAAAAGGAATAAAAATAAAATGTACCTGAAATAGAAAATTGCAATATCATCTTAAAAAGTTCCACAATGCCAATCATTGCAAATTTTTGTAGTACTTATATGTCTAAGATTTGTCTAGAGAGTATACAAAAGGCATTTACAAACTATGTCAAGTACCTATTTCCCATTAAATTTCTCTCATTTTTGGTAATTTTTTTAATTTATTCATATAGCATTTTAATACATATGACCAAGGTTTATTGCTCAAATTCTCAGCTGCTTACAGAATATTTAATAAATTATTTTTCCAACTCAAGCCTGAGTCACACATTCTTTTCCTGATAAAAAAAACCACCAAACCTTAAAAAAAAAAAACATTTAATTTTAAATTCGTTTTGCATTTAAAATTCAAAAAAACATGATAAGGAGGTCATGAGTAGCTCTTTATTTAAAGAATAAAAATAAAAATATTTATTCGCTATCAGTAAATATCAGTGTCATTTAATTCTGTCTTTCCAAACTTTGTAATTCTGAGTCCAATTTAGAAGACACAGGAGCTCTTAGGTCAAGTATCCATAATTCTAATGAAGATTTTTTTTACATAAAAGCCATTTGAAATTGTGTTAAAATAACTTAAATTCCACACTGGGTTTATGAAATGAAACTTTAATCTGGAATATTCCAGCATCTTCATCTCTATAAAACTTGAGCATAAACTTTTTGCCCATTATCTTTCAACAATTGTAGACTAAGTTTAATTTTACGGCAATTGAATTTTTAAATTTCAATGTGCCAATAAATTAAAACAATTTTTTTATTAAATATATAAAAGTTTAATTATTTTTTTATCAGAAACTGTATTGTAAATTTGTATTTAAAGGTTATTCAGTCAATTTGATTGAAATTAAAAAGAGAAAACAAAAATTCTTAATATAATTTAGACAAAGCCTAGAAAATATAAAACTTACTGACTAAGCATGTGCAGAGAAATACACAGGTAAAGGTGAATGCAAATCGAAAATAAATGCAATAGAAGATTATCACATGTACAGTTATTGCTTTAGAGAGGTTTATAATAAACTATGCACTGAGTATAGATTTAAAAACATGTAATAAAAACTTATGCGATGTAATAATTTAATAGAGAAAAAAAAACTTTTTTAACCATTTACAATGCTTTATACTATAAAATAGAAGAATTTTAAATTTTGCAAAAAACATGCCAGTTTAAAACACACAATCTATTAAATATTCAATTTATAAAATGTATAAAGATAAATACAAAATATGACAAGCTCACAATTATCATTATAATTTAAAAAAGATAGTTAATATTTAGCATAATATTATTAAATTATATTATTCCATCTATTATATTTCTTCTTCTTTATCACTTACTATTTAATTTCTAAGGTTTTGACTTGCCAGAAATGAACCTATTCAGCTTTCAGCACAAATCCCAGCTTTTACTAACTAAAATTTATTGTATTTTAAAAGTCTTTATAAGTAGATATGCAACAAATTCAATTTATTCTATTAAATGAGATTTTAGAAATCCAAAGCTCTTTTTAAAGGGATATGTGGACTTGTATTCATTTTTTTTCACACTCTTTAATAAAATAACTGACAAAAATTTGCTTATAAAACTAAAATATAATGCAAAAGTCTATACCGCTAATAACTCATCCTTTTATAATTTAAGACATTTTAATCATTTAATTTTATTATTTTTATATTCACAAACTATGAATATCAAAAAGAATTCAGAGTAAATAAAATTTTAAAAAAAAAACAGACAGCGTTTGGAAATAGATAAATCTATCTATAAAAAAATCTGATTAAGAAATTATAAAACTTTTAAAGCATAATCAGTTATATGTAAAATCACATTCAATGAATAAGAAAGGGAATGATGAATTGCAAAATTTACTACAAAAAATAGGAACTACTAAGCTGTTACTTAAGCAATTGGTAAATTTTTAACTAAAAACAAAACTGTTATCAATATGTATTATAAATAATCCTCATTTCAGACCTATTCGCTTTTACTATTAAAAGAAATGTAAAAAAAAGTTTAAAAAAATTAATTTTGTGATAACTATTCGTACAAGGAAATAACAAATATATCAAAAAGGGGGATAACAACAACAACAACAAACATAATTTCTAAAACCCCTTGTCCTTAATAACATCACAGATGATTCAGGTAAGGATTAAGAAAAATCCTTCCAATATTTAACAGTATATGTTCGTTTTTCAGCATTTAAAATGTATAGAAAATGTGTTAGCTCATGGCATGGGTGGTAATGTTGATGATCTTATGGGTTGTGTATGGATTTCCACTCTTTCTTCTTCATGGAGTGCACGTTCAACATCTTCATAACTTGGAGGCAGTGCCTACATAATATAAAGTAAACAAAGTCTGAACTAATACAATAATGATGTACTCTTTATGTTAAAAAAATTTTTTATTCCTTTTCATGATGGAATTTTTGAAAAACCAATTTTTATACTTTTAACACATTAAATTCAAGGGAATTCTTTAAAAGTATCACAAATTAAGAAAAGAAAGTTAATAAAGATCTTAATTTTTTTCCTAAAAAATTGTACTTTTTTTAAAATTTAAATAAGAAAATGATTTTTTTTTACATTTGTCAATTAAAGCTTTGATAAAATGTATTAATAATTTTTAACACTAAAATACATAATATACAAATTAATCACTAAGTAAATAAATGCATAGATAATTTTATTTAAGCTCAACATTCTCATGAATTTGTAAAGACAAAGAACTAATTTGCCAAATAAAAAATGAAGTCTAAATGTAGGGTTCACACCAGTAATGAAAGTTTAGTGGTTCAATAGGACCACCTAGGTATTCATTTAGCAGTCCAAAAATTTAATATGGTAATAAACTTGAGAAGAAAAAAAATCAAACTTAGCCATTACATAATTCATGTTTTGGTACGCATCAAAAAATATTAATTGCCCTCTATATAACTATAATAACAAAATAGATTCATTACCCCATAATGATTGAAAATTAGTACTTATTAAAATTAAATAAAAAAAAGCTTAAATAATAATAAAACAATAAATTCAACATAGGGACTAAAATACTGAGATTAAATAAATAAGTAAATGAGAAAAGCAGAGAAACTAAAAACTAACAAATATTTTATCATTAAAAATTAATTATCCCTAAATTGTAAAATTTAAATTAAAAGTTATAAAGGTAAATTCTAAAAAAGCAAAACATATTATTTTATTGATCAGCAAATATATTGTTAGTACTTGAATGCAAAGCACAGCACAACATGTAAATTAGAAATTTCAACATTTAATTTTAAAATTTTTTTGCATCACTTTTGTAATACACTTTCAGTTGTTACATTCGAATACCACACATTTGAGTTCTATACTATGCGTAAAACAATAAAATGAATAAATTATTTTTTTTAAATGTCTGGAATTCTATGCAAAAAAATTTTTTTTACTACTTTGCAAATTGCAAAAATATTTCAAGGCGACAAATTTGTCGCCCAGGCATATTTTAGGAACATTTGCAGAGCATTTGGCGACACTTGCTGCCATACTGGCGTGAACCCTATATCAAGGGTAAGGTATCAAATCTACTTAAGTACTCTTGACAGAGAAAGTCTTTTTCATAATTTATAAATATGCAAACTACATATTTATTAATTTTTAAAAGTACTTATATTGAAATAAACATAAAACTAAATAGGTATAAATGTAATATGTTTATTATTTAGCTAAGTGTTTTATACAGTTAAGAAAAAAATGTAGTTTCATCTTTCAATCTTAATCCATCTGGATAAAACATTCTATCAATGGAATCAGATTTTTAAAAAAATTACTAACTTCAAATTATCTTTATAAACTGAACAGTATAAAAAATATTTTCAACAAAAATATTTCAAAATATTTAAAAAAATTACTAACTTCAAATTATCTTTATAAACTGAACAGTATAAAAAATATTTTCAACTAAATCAATGATTTAAAAAAAAGTGTGTTTTTAGTCAATAAATAAAAATAAAAAATCAAATGATTTAAATTCTGCAAATCTTGAAGAAATATGCATTGATTTAAAACTTATGTATTTCCTATTAAAAAACCATATGGATTAAATCAGTCAACAACATCTTGAAAACAGCAATTTTTACAATTGTGGTTTTGATTATAACAACTTCTCTCAGATTTTAGTTAAATTTAAGAACATGTCTATAACCTATGCAGTTTTTGTTATCACATAGGATATTTCTTATTAGTTTATAGTGTTTACTTAACTAATCTTCCGTAGCCATTTTTTTTTCTAGTTTTTTAAGATTTTTTTTTTTAAACACTGAACAAAATAGTTGGTCACAAAATTTTAAATTTAATTAAAAAAATTTTTAAAAATAATTGAATTTCCTTCCACCTAGCTAACTAAAAAGTACCGAAAACCACATAATACCTGTACTGCAGCTTCATAGGGTGGAGGTTTATCTTGATTTGAAAGTGTATCACATAAAGAAGTTTCTGCTTGCGCACAAGCTGTATAATGTGCTCTCTGCATTTGACGAACTCTGTGCTGTGAGCTTCGAGGATTAGCTCTGTATATACGTGGCATGCCTCGAGGAAAATATGTAGTAAATGGTGTTGAATATTCATTCTGGATATGGGCATTAGGATTTGATTGAGTGAATAAAGTGGCATTATCTTCAGTTGTCATTCGTTGCCTAGCATCACCCCTTATACGTTTTGCCTGCCATTTTCTTATCCTACAAAATAAAATATTCATTAACAGTTAATGCTGTAATTATTATATTTTAGGCCTCACAATCCAAGTAAAAAAATACAATGTAACTTCTAACCCTCTCATGCTTAAATCTTGGGATGTGGTAGTTCAGTAGTTAGAGAATCAGATACCGGTTCGTACCGGCAGAGATTTGATCTTTGACTACGCTAAGACCCACCATGTACATGCGATATAAGTATTCATAAAATGTGTCCTGTGGTTGGTCACTGAGCAATACTATGGTTACTGGATCTGGAGAAAATTTCATTCCCCTTCAGATCTAAGTCTAAATTGAACAATCGGCGTTACAAATGAGAGGTACGGCCATCTATCCATAGGGTTCTAAGCAAAGATGTAGTTTCCCCTTTGCAGTGCTCTTTTGTCAAACGAAATGTGTACCTTCCTGACTCCAAAATTCGCAAAAGGGCAATGATTGGCAAGCTCTGTTTGTCTAAGTGACTATAGGAACAACAACATACTTAATACCTCATATGAACATCCAAAACAAATAAATAAGCATTGCAAATATTTCAATTGATAGATTCATTTAGGGTCCAGAAAAATATGTGGTTAATTATAGTGTTTTTTTTTTTTTTTAGAAATATCTTCATATCAAATATTATCTACATGCACAGGGATAAGTTACTCACAAAAAAAAAAAAAAANAAAAAAAAAAAAAAAAAAAAAAAAAAAAAAACTTAAAGGGTCACAAAATTATTTATCTTCTCTAAATTTAATTCCAAGAAAATTTTAGTTCTTGACTTTCTACTAAATGCTTTAATTTTTGCAAATTTTATTATCAATACATAAGCCTTAAGCAGCACCAAAATCATAGCTATTCCTCCATTTCAGCTGACAACACTTGAGTCATTTTCAACTTTTTGTATTAAGTTTACTTATTCCCTTACAATATTCAAAAAAGTCTCTCTTGATGCATTGCTATTTCTATAGTCCTAAAAATTAGCTAAGATTAAAGTGACTTTGATCTAAGAAACAATGAAAACAATATATTTTCAATTAGGGACTTGCAAACGACACGACAAGTAGGTGTCAAACCTTATTGGCTGCTGAATCATGGTATAAACAAATGCTGGCAGATATCCAATAAAAGTTGTTCTGAAAAATGATTGAGGGTAATAATAAACCATACATACTAGATGTAAAGTTAACACGCCATCTTGTTTAAACATAACCAGCTGATTTCAGCATTCTCCTTTTTCCCACGTAGACAGTATTCAATTTTTTTTTTTCTAAAATTATCTTTGCTGACGTGATTACTGATCTTTACTGACACATGCTGATGCAAACTTTTGATGTGCAACTCACTAAAGTTAAGCACCAAAATAGAAATATTTAACTATATTGCAATATACCCAACACTGGAAAAAACTACAAAAACTGATAAAAGGATATACTTATAAACATTTATTGTGGAAAAGAATTTTGAAGATAAACAAAGATGAAGACATACTTCTTATCTTTTTTAAAATCACATCAAGCAAAAAAAACTTTTCTATAAAAAATATTACTGAGTAGCAAAAACATTAAGAAGTTACTGTTTAAGATAATTAAAATTTTCTTGCCCTTACCAGCTACCTTAAAAATTTTTTCTAAGAAATAAAAAATAAAGACTTTAACTCACCTTTTAGATAAACACTTGATAGCCACCAAACACAGCAAAAATGTGATGATGATAGTGAATACTATGAGCAAAGTTTTCCAAGGAAAAGGTATAATTGGCAATTCTGGATTCACATACCTGGCAGAAACTAAGAAGAAAAAAAATCAATGCCTATCAAGTTTGTTAAAACTCTCAACTTTTAAAAAATTAAAAAAAAACTTATGAACATTGGTTCAGACCCATCTATGTTCATTTTGAAATAAAGAGACTTAAAGTTCAATGAATATTTCTTTAAAACTAATCTGATCTGTGATTCACTCTATTTGGCAACAGAAATAAGTTGAAAAAATAATAGTTTCAAAATATAACACGCATGACTTTAACATGAAAGAGAAGCCAACTCCCTTTATTATTATTTAATGGAACTCTAAAAAGGCCTTTTATGGGCCAAATAATACATTTTTGTACAAGAAATGTTAAGGAAAAAAATTAATAGTTATTTTATTTATTTATTTAACATAGTTTACTGCATAATATTACAAATTTTTTTATCATTATTCATTAACATTACAGCTATTAAGAAGTTTCGGTAATTCGTAAGTGGAAGATATGTAACTCACCAACACAAGTGTGTAATCGTGGAATTTTAAATGCATCTAAAACAAAGAACTCAGATTTTCCATCTCTACTTCTGCAGAAACAAGGGATCATTTTACAATAAGCTCCAACATGATAATGACGACAATCCCCATGATTTGTACAAAAAATAGCAATGGAAGAATCTAGAAAGAAAAAAAAACGTTTTAAGCATGTTAAAAATTTATTCATTCAGTTTCATGTTTAATGTGAATTTTGAAAACTAAGATCAAGGGTGATCTTCGTTTATTCTGAAAATCAATTTTATTACAAAATGAGAAACTAGTTTATAAAGTATCAAAAACATTTTACGGTGGGTTGGTTCTAATGCCACTTGCCACACGGGCAAGTCTGCTTGGTGAAACCAAGCAAATTTAAGGCAGAGTGCGCGATTCTTGTTTTTCAGTGGCGCTGTCTATGGCCAAGAATTCGACTTCTGCACATCATACGTCACACCTGTTTGTAAGGCGGACCCATTCATAATTCCATTCATTCATCCACAGATGGTAATTTTGACCTGAATCAGAGAACGATCCATCTCTAATCCAGTACCCTCAGAGGTTATGGGAACATGGAGGACTTTGCGACTCAACAGAATTTTAACGAGCACCAGTCACCAACTACACGGGGAGTCTTCGGCCGGTGGGGTTCGACCCTACGAACTCTCGGACATGGGCCCAGCGCCCTACCGACCAGGCTATCCCGGCCCCAAAATATTTTATACAAGTAGAATTTACATTTAAAAAATAATAAAAAAATTATTGTCTGTGTTTAATAAAAAATTAGTAATCTTTAACCTTTAATGCAAATAATTTAAAATATAATCTGTGTGTTGAAGTAGATTAATAACTAATCCCACAGAATTATACACTATTCAAAAATGGTGCAAATTTATTTTTAACAATTTTACCCCCATGATGAATCTTTGAAAAAAATCGAGGGATCTTTGTAATGACTCTGATTGGAATTTTTAAGTGTCATAAATATGTGAATCATAATAATATATATTTTCAAAAGGATATTAGACTGATTCTTTCATAATAATTTCAATATTGCTTCATTACTAATAATACACAATAACTTTTTTTTTTGAAAGAAAAATACAATGAGTCAAGGATGAAATGGGGTTGATATAAGATATTTTCAACAAAAATGGGTCACATTGTCTTAGAACCCTTTATACAATTTTTTGAACAATAAAAAAGTTGACAGTGCAAAATAATATTGAGAAACCGGGGGGGGGGNTCTTGATCAGGGGGGGGGGACTTATAATCTTATTTTCCAAAATAAATCAGAATTTATTTATTTTTGCCTTTCAGTAAAGTTAATTGTAAAAATTTTGTATTAAATATCTTTCAAAAGAAACAATAGATACCGATGAAATGTCTTTCAAAAATTATAATACAATGACTGTTTTCTATTTTAGTACTAAATGAGCTTTAAGAATACTTTATTTCAATTATTATAGACAATTAAATTAAAAATATGTTAATCTCTATCTCTACTTGTAATTTTTAGTGTAAAAACTACTTGCAGAGTAATGTAAAATTAGTCTTACTTTTTACACACAAGGCAAGTTCATCATCATGAACATTCGAAACAGCATGTTGTAACTTTAGAGTGCAGACTAAGGTGCAGTTATCTTGCACTTCATGTTGTAAAAAAGGAGCATAAACGTCATGACATAATTCTATTTGTCCTAAGAAACAGAACAATAATAAAATGACATTGAATCTTTTAACTACATGCAATCAATATCAGAAAAATAGAATAAAATAATGTCATACTAATAATGTTAATACTTACTATAATATCTTATGTTCTAAGTATATTTATTATTTCTAACACATATATTAAGACTAACATGTTTTTAAATATCTAATTCCATTTTCTATCTAAATATCATATAAGAATATTTTTAATTGTTCTTATTAAGTACACAAGCTAAAAAAAAATTTATAACTTCAAAAAACTTTTTATCTAATAAAAACAATAAAATTAAACTTTGATTTAAATTCTCAAAAATAAAATTTTTTAAATAATTTCCTTCCATTCATTACATACAAAGATTCTGATTATGTACTAAAATTGTAGTGATCTATTTGAAGAGATAAAATTGTAAATGATCTTTATCAAATCATTATCAATTTTTCTTTACAAACAGATAAACACTTCTTATTAACTCTTTAAATACCGAGCCCACCAAACCACAACATGCCCAGAATACCGCAAACGCCCGAAGTAGGAAAACGAGTAGCAAAAATTTCCCTGTCTTACTCTGGAATGACTGATCCTCTCTTTATTCACCTGTGGAAATATCCCCAAAATAGGAGTTCAAAGGGAAGAAAGACATAATTTGAAGCAAGAATATCACTATCGTAACGAGATTTATAAAATGTTAATAAATGCTTGCATTTGTTTTCGGTTTTTTTTTTTGTTTAATTTTATTATTTATATTGAAACATAAGTATGTAATTCCATGTAATCCAGTTATACAAAATCTAAATAAAGCATTTAATTTGATAATAATATTCTCGCACAAATAAAATCCTTTTTCTTTTCGTTGTAAAACAAAAACTAACATAATTCAATAACTTAAATGATTGAAAAATAAATTTTAAATTTCTTAGAAACCAACATTTGAAATTAACATCAGTCATTAAGGATAAATTAATTTGGTGATAGTACTAAAATATTATTCAACCTAAATGTGTGTCTTATTTTACATCAATTTACAATATGAAATACGAGAAACTTTTCTTATTATTTAACAAGGCTCTGAAACCATTAAAAATATTATCCCCAGAAAATATTATCATAAATTGAAAAAGTGGATTGAAAGCAAACAAAATAAATGTTCAACTATAAAACAATATCTTCAAAGCTTAGCAAATATATATATATATATATATATACACATACAATGTCTAAATTTTTATTTACTAACTATTAATTTTTCTTAATTTCATTTTTAAAAATTTTAATGACTATATATAATAATCTATATTTAACTACTATATTTAATGCATAATTTTTTAACCTCCGACCCCATCGTTAATCAGCCAGACAGCTATTCTTTACGTATGCTAGGGAACACAATTACTTCCTATTTCAACAATGCCTTCTAGGCTAAGATTTATCCTTCTGTCACGTTTCGCTTGTAATTATTTCTTTTTGAGAATGGGACTAAATTGTTCTGCATTTTACTGAACAGTTGGAAATCGGCATCTGTTTAGACATATGGTGCAGTATATATGGGAGTGGTGACAAGAAATTTCTTTGAAAGAAAAGGGGAATATCAAAGGAATTTCTTACACTACCACACCATAATTTTGGTGACAAAGATATCAGTTCCAACTTCAGGTAGAAATGGAGAAAATCTACTATATGACATGTTAATTTTCATTTAACAATAGCCTTTAGAAGCTATGCTGATAACGCTTATCTTCTACAGAAATGAATGAGTAAATTGTAACACATCTGGGTAGTCTGACAGCTGAATATAGAACATTCAATATGAAGGAAAAAATGCATTCATGAGAAATTAAGAGTTAACTACAGATAATCCTCCTGTGAAGAAACCCTTTTGTATGAAGATAAGGCGTAAAATTGAAAATAAATAAATTCATAGAGATTTAGCTATTTTAAGAGTTTTGACACCAACACATTCTCCACTAGTAAAATTCGTGTTTTTAGACCAGGTGTTAACAATTAATTAAAAAAATGGGTCGTTGCAGCTTAAAGTGCAATACCTACGTAATGACAAGCATTGAAAAGGTGAAAATAGCGAGGCATTCATAAAACAGCAAGACAACGTGAATGATTTACAGCTGTCGAACTACAAATGCAGAATAAAGTTCAAATTTCAAATAATAATTTTGGTACCCATCAAAGCAGTTTTTTCTCTTGGATCCTACTGCTATAAATATAAAAACTATTTTGTAAGGCATTAAAACCTACGATCTAATTCTAATAAAATAATGTTTAATTATTTATTTTATATTTAAAAATAGATTTATAATTAATTGAGTAATCTTTCAGTCTTGTAGAATAATATATTTTAAAATTACTGTAATTTCTTTTTTCCGAAAACACTGCAAATTTCGAGCTGTTTATTATCTTGATCAATTGATATATTTTTAAAGACACAATAACTAAATAATTTAATGTTTAAAAAAAATACTTTATCACCATTACTCCAGTTTATTCTTTTCAACGTAAGTTATCAAAAAAGTTCAGATAAAAAGAAGTAGCCAGCTTAATAATTTAGGTTAATTAATTTTGAGTTTATATTAGTTTCTACATCACTCTCTGTCTTTCAAAAAAGTTAAAAAAATACTACATTTCTTAACTATAAATTTTAAGCTTATGAGAATATGATTTTATTTTTACAATAAAACGTTTCATTTAACTTTTTCTCGAGAAGTATTATCAGAAGAAGTTCAGTCGTTAGGGGCAACAGTAGTTTCAGTTGGTGTTACATCTTCGAATTCATCTTCATCCCCTGATTCATTAAAATCCGACTCATCCTGTCTCATCATTGAAAATTAATTTAATTGAAAATTATTTTCGGTCGAAGGACCTTTACAGCGAAAATACATTTTGGTTTATATATATATATATATATATATAAATAAACAGGAGAAAACAACTTTACAAAAGCGGAATGATATAAAACAAAACTTTTGTTGAAAAATCCCTCTGCCTTCTTCCCTTTTTGTAAATTAACTTCAAGGACGATTACTGCCACACCTCCCCCATTGTGTGTTATTTTTCGAAAAGGGGGAAGAATCTCTAACTCGTTTCACGGGCACTTCGGGCGTTTTCAGTAGTCTAGCTTACGAGGCGTCTAGGGCGTTCCGGTAGCGAAAGAGTTAAAGTTACTTAAATAATACTTCAGAAAATTTGATAAGTGATTAAATTTAATAAAATTTATAAAATATATAAAAACATAATTAATTTTTATACTCTGAAACAAATCTAGAAATATAATATAGATTATACAATAGACCCTCCTTAAATGGTGCCTTGTTATATTTTCAATAAAATAAAAAAGATAGGTACAGGAAACTTTAAATAGGTATTCCTTCACTATATATATAAATATTGCAATTTTGAGTGTGAGATATCTCTTCATAAACCAACACACAATATTTCAAAGAATAAAGTAAAACAGCGTAAATGTTCCCTAATTTGTGTTTTGTTCACATTGTTTTATTTTATTCATGGGTAGCAAAAAGCATACCCTGTTCTTAATTGAATAGTTCAGTGTTTTTTGGAATACATAGAAAAGACAGAAAAATCCTGCCCATTCTTCCTAAAAGTAAAATATATCAATAAAATATTATATATTTGGTTTATGGTAATTTTAATCAACTAAGTTATCCCGATATATTGACTTTAGTTACTATACAACTCCTTTTCAAAGATAAAGCTCTTTTCTCCTCTTCCAATATGCAATAAATTGGTCAAATATTTCTTGCACACGAAATTCTATATTTAGTGGCCAAAACATTTTTAATAGATGAAGAATAGACTCGTTATAATAATTTCATATCAAAGAAACAAAAGATACTTAATATTTGTTAAAACTCGAAGTGAATACTGCAAGACTCATAAAATAATATGCATTAAAATTATTTTAAGTATAAATTATTAAAATAGTTTTGCCTAAAAGCAAATTTTGATTAAAAGTTTAAAATGCGTAAAAAAAACATCTGCTTTAACAATTAAATATGACGAAAAACGAAAATCATATAACATGAATACTAAGCACACATCTCTCCACCAAGTAAAATAAGGAAATGTAAACGACTTAAAAATTATTTTAAACGTTTGTAAACTACAATTCTATTATTATATGATTGAAAACAAGAAAATCTTGAATTAAAACATCTAAATTAAGTACCTTCAACTGTGATTATCACACACAGAAATGATATGATAGTAAATGCATAAATAGGATGATGACTTAATGTAGCCATTAGACATACATATAGTAATTAAAAGTGAAATCATAAGAAATGTATATGATTAACTACAAAAAAATAAGCTTCATTTAAATAAACATAAACATGCATGTCCTTTATTTACGAAATTTCAGATTGTCAAAATTTTGACGTTGCCAGATTAATGAGCTTAAATCAATTTGGTTCTGGCAAGTAGTAAAAAGATTCATCGTTAGATGTCGCTAAATTACTTACCCTCTTTCATCCTGTGGCAATTATAAAAAACTGTAAAAGAGGTCGATACATTTTAGAAACATATTTGTGATTGATATTGTTAGCTCACCCCCCCCCCCTTCCTTGTTAGAAAGGAGAGAGTGATTTTTTTTCAGAATTTAGCTCTAAAATTTATTGTTTAGAATGTTAAGAACCATAATTTAAAAACTTACAGAAATGGTTATGAGGTTATGTTTAAGATTCTTCTTAAATAATTTCCTTATTCACTGAACAAACTCTTATTTAAATGATTAAAAATGAAGTAAATTTTCAATTGCCTATTTGCGGCTCTAAAATAAAAATAAAAATTGAAAAGCTCGTTTATGGATTATATATTATCCCCCAACTGTTCAACATTTTTCAACAACATTTTTCATAGCTTGGATGAAGAAAAAAAATTTGTTTTGAAAAGTATATATTTGCTGTATGTACGTTGAAGCACAACGCTTAGCCGCTAACAAATTCACTTATTTTCACTCGCTGCAGTACAAATAAAAATAAATTAAAGATCAGCCATTCTTATATTTTTTCCAGTTCTTTTTATGACTTATATAGCCAGTACTATTATACTTTTTGACTGACTCAGATTCAAAAAGCCCCTTTCTTCAGTTAGGATAAAGTTATCCATATATTTCAACCTCGATGATGAAATTTGAATAAATATAATCTTATGTTGTGTGCTTGGGCAATACTTTATATGAGTTAAAGGAAAAGTTCACTGCGGAAACGTAACTTTTTTCTTAAAGACAATCTCAAGACTTTTAAAAAGCTGGCTGCGTTTTTTTACTTTTATTCATGAGCAAAATTTACCAGAAATAAATTGTCTTTTATTTCTATTTAGATTTGCCAAATAATTTTTTTAAGTGCCAACTTTTTCGACACAAAACACTGCAATAATTCTAAATTTATAAACGTGAGTTTCATGCATTTGACATGACCAAAAATTTATATTAAAGATTCATACATTTAACCAGTGGGTAACAGTCATCAGTTTTCATTTCCTGTCAAAATGGTATAATTTTATTGCCAAAATTTATAATAAATTAGCAAAAAATATATAGTACAATTTGTAATTTTTTTAAATACCTTTCAAATCAATCTCACAGTGTCACATTTGTATTTCAAACATATTGCAACAGGCACCATATTATGAAATATGAAGTTTTTGGAAAATGTTATGTGTTCTTGTCTGATTTCTGGTTGTTCACACTGGTTTTTTTTACCCACAAATTTCAGGTAATTTTCCAGAAAAATTACAATTGCAACTTTGCACATGATTGTTGATAAGCCAATTAATACTTCAAAAGTATTCACGATTAGGTTTTTCTCTCTTAACAAAAAAATAGAATAATTGATCTGGACAAAATGAGTCCCACAGTGAATTAGTAGATCACTGAAGTCAATCATCACTGGCTGCTTGCAATGAGTGGATGGATCACTGCTTTGGTCAGTCAACGTAGGAACCGAGAGTATGCGGATTTGGTCCTCGTTAAACTGATCTATCCAGAACCATCTTTACGCATGGGCACCACCGGGCAGTGGTCGAGGGCCTCAGGGGGCCCTTGAGAATCTCACTTTTTATAAATTGTATTTAAAGAAAACTAAAAATAAACAAAATTGCCTTATATATTTCCTTTAAATAAATATATTCAACTGCATAAAGTGTGTAATTTTTCCCCCCTACAAATAGTGATTGATTATCATGCAAACAACAATAATTTGAATAGTTTATCATCAGGGAAACTTAAAAAAACAACCGAAATCTTTTTTTCTACGTTCCAATGAAGTTTTTATGTGAATTCGGTTTTTTTTGTGTCTACTAAAAACAAATTTAAATCAAAATGTATTTAAATTTGTTCAAATTGTTGCATATGTTAAAAATGCTTTATTTTGTGTATGTGAAGTTTTTTAGTTCGATTTTAAGCAGTATGTCCTGTTATAGGGTCCCAAAACATTTCTGTGCCCGGGGGTCCTGCGTGTTATGAAGACGGCCCTGGATCTATCATAAAGTATACTTGACTTTGAGCTCTAGCATAATTTTAACATTATGTGAATTGGATTATTTTTTAATTTGATTATAGAAATATTTTTTAAAAAATAAAAGGGAAAATAAATTCACCTAATTCCACAATGGCAATACATAAATGATTAAAACTAGCGATTTAAATAATCTGATTTTCTAAATAAAATAATTGATTTAAAACATTAATGTAAAAAATCAGTGATTAAAATAATTTGTTATGTTTTAGATATTATAATCAACACCTTTAAAATAGTTAGGAAAGAAAAAAAAAACTACAAGAAAAAACAAACTACGAAGGGAAAAGAAACATTTTCAATTAACTCTTCTTTTGTAATACCGAAAATCTCTGTTTTCCATATTTCCTAAACACTTGCTAATGATAAAGATGTATTGTGATTTAAATAGAAAAAAAAAAAAGCGCATGCATGAAAATATATTACATAAGTGAATATATAACCTCCTACTCTACTAAATCTTCATTAATAATTTAATTCTTAATTCAATACAGTCTTCTTATTTAAATGAAAATTTTATTAAGTGCATTAAAAAACTTACCTTATTAAATACTTAAAAATTCAATATTTTATAAAAAGTAGAAATTGAGTTCCATATTTCTTTAATAAAATAATTAAAAAAGAATTTAATAATTTTGTGGAAAAAAAAAGCTTGTGAGTAACTAACCATTTTTGTCAATGTAAATTAGTACATAGTTCCTCCTATTAATATACCATTTTGATGATTCTCTTCTCATTGAATTTTAATATCAATTGTTCTTAAATGAAAAGATTGAATTCATTTTTTTTAAATGACAAATTTAAATATTATAAGATTTGTTACTGCGTGTGCTTAAAATATTAGATACTTTATTAAAATTACGATTGAATTTTTTTATAGAATTTCTCAAAAGTATTAAAATTTCTGAATATCATACATCCAGTAAGATAGATAAAAATTAGTGAATAGTCCCTCAGATCGAACTTCGCGATTTTAGAATTTTAATTACATTTTATTTTTATTTAATCAAAAAGGGGGAAGAAAATTGAAAAGTGATAAGGCTCTCTCATTGACTGTCCTAAACGCAGATGAAAAACTTTGTGTACAATCCCCAAGTAAAAGCATTGCGGCACTGATCTACAAATAAATTAGTACACCAGCATCGGAATTCCAGTAACGTAATGATAATGGGTTAGCATTACCACAACAAAAAATTGAGAAAAAAAGTCGCTTTTGTCTCTCCAGTCGACTGAAATTCAGAAAATTCTCAGATCGATTACAAAGATCAGTAGATTCAACCAGAAATCGCGAGTCAACTGTAAAATGTGGCAGAGTTGGTACGTCAGTAATTCATTGCATTGTTTTAAAAACAATTTTCTTAGAATGTTACGACAAGAAGTATTTTGATAATCTACCAAGTGATCATCTGTTCGGCAATTAATTTATTTTATCGCTTCTTAAATATTATTTTGTGCAACCGCAAACAAAAGCGTCTTTTTTTGCAATGTTTGATAGGATGAAAATTCCTCCCGATTTTGTCGAATCTCGTTTTCTCGGTGTAACAGGTGCGTACCAATCCTACATTTTTTCTTTTTGTTTTGCAAGAGATTTCCACAACTAATTATAAATATCAAGAAATATTTCCTTAAAATTCACGAAGTAGTTTAAACGAAACATTTATTATATTAACAGTCAATATTATTTTATTATCATTATTTTCTTTTTTCAAATTTTGTTAATGAGTTAATAATAGGTTGCTAAATAACAATTAAAAAATATTTATTGATGTAAAAATAAAATTACCTCAGTTTTTTTTCTGCTTTACAATTCAATATTTTTTTTAAAAAAATTATTAAAACAGAATTTTGTTTACATAGAACTGTTTTTGAGTTAGGAAATTTTAAATCAGTAAAATAATTTTGTTACTTTAATGAGGTTATAGGATTAGGAATTTTGATCTAAAAAGAATTTAGTTCCATTTTTATCATTCACAATAAACCTACATATTATTTGATTGGGCTGAAGTAAATCTGTTAAAAAATATGAATAATTTTAAAATACTAAATAAATAATTATATTATATAAAAAAAGATTTCAATTATTTTTTAACTTGTATTAATCCATAACTGTCTGAAAATATTTTATTTCCCACCAGGTCCAAACTATTTTCTATATGAAGAGAAACTGAAGTATTTTATATCAAGAATAGAGATGAAAACATTTATATTTTAATTTTATCAACATGTTAATTATTATATATAAATATGGCAACATAAAAAGTTATAAAAATAAAATTATTTTTGCCACTTGCTCTGGTGCATTGAGTCCAGTAAGGAAAAGATCCATGCAGTTCACATGGAAGCATTGGTTTGTTAAGAGATAAGTCAATATTTATTTGTTGTTTGTCACATGGAACTGTTTGGCCATAAAAAACATTGTGCCATAGAACAAATTTTTTTTAGATATTTTTTATGTTCTTTTGTCTTACTGTAAATGGTGAAAAGTAAAACAGAATGAGTGCTTACAGTTTGTAATTTTGTACTGAAACTTGAATTTAGACAATTGGAATCGGGTCACTCTAAGATCAGACTCATAATTGTGTCTGATCTTAGAATCCAAAATAGTTTTATTTGTTCCTTGTTTATCTATTGAGAAAAATAAATATATTCTTCAAAGAAAATACATATTTTAGAAAAAAGATAAAAATCCACTTTTAATAAAGCAGAATAACAAACATTTATTTACAAATAGATACAAGGGTTGGTATAGTAGTGAAATATTCAAATTTTTATTTATCAAATAATCAGACTGTACTCTTGTTTTTTAAGGCAGCAATTGCTTCTTGATTTACAATAAATATAAATCTTAGCACAGCAATCTGAAATGAAAAGCATGTAATTGATTTATTAAAACAATGCGTATAAAAAATAATAAAAACAAAAATAATCTAATTACATTTTTATGCTTACCTCGATGACAGAGTTATTGTTCAATTTGTACTTTGTTCCATTTAAAACTGGTTTTCCATCAACAAAAATAGGTTTTTTAGCTTCATTTATTAAATAAAATTCACCATTATTATCCATTTTAATAACACCTTGTCGCCTAGAAATTTTCCATGCTGGACCTTCAAGTGCGAAATCAATGTCAACTGTATTATCTTTAGCTGAACGTCCAAACGTAACCTATTTAAAAATTATGAAAAAATGTAAGGCCATTCATTTTATTTTTAATTTGTATCTAAGTGAAAACAATAAATGAAATTTACAAACTTTACAGCCTTTTGTATAAAGTCTAATTTAACTACAAAAAGTCTAAAAACTAAAATTTTTGTAAGGGTTAAATTATTTCAAATGATAAATATGATTATATAAAACAGCAAGACGGAAATGGGGCCAAAAGAGTGAATCTTGAACATTTATTTAAAAAAAATTTCTCTTCCCGGCTTTTCATACTTGCATAATTACAATTTAAATGTTCATTTCCTCTTTAGTCTTTGATGATTTATACTAAAGCAAAACAATCTCCATTGAAAATTATTTATCCTTGTAATCAGAGAAACTATAAGCACACGAGTCTATCTACTGTTTTCATCATAGAAGGTCAGTAGCTATCTTTATGCATACAAAAAAATAAATATAAAAATATTCATATCACCAAAAAAAATATTTTTGAAATCAATAATAACGCAAATCTTGCAAACTGAGATAAGGTGAAGAACCAAACTTTATCGTTTTATTACATTTAACGCATACTCTTTGTATCACTGTAAATAGCACCATGTCTGAGAAAATTGCTCATGACTGTTAAAATGTATTTTACAGCCATGACACATACATTTATCCAGGGCAGCTGAAACAGAAGCGTAAACTTTTTCAGAAGTTTGTGGGATTTATGTAACTAATTTCTATTTCAACATGTGGTGCCATGTTTAATTAGAAAAACAGATTAAAATACTAAGCTATTAACTCAGTTAAAAAAATCACTGAATGAAACAAAAAGAACATAATGGATGTACCAATTAAAGATGGATTCAATTAGTAGAAATTAACTAGGAAACTATTTATAATTTATGTGAATAATTCATCATTGTCATTAATGGTGGCATCTGGCAGAATTAGATGTCAGCCATAATTTGGAAGAGTGAATTGTATGCACCTCTCTATTCAAGACGGATCTATGAAATTACATCCTGTTATTCAATTATTTTCTAAAATACACATTTAGCACTGTTGTCATTGATTCTAAAAGCAAATATTATCATGTTTTGATATTAAAGGTAAAATTTCTTATAGTCTTATATTTAAAGAGAATACATTCTTTAATTTGGATATGAAAAATTTATAATTGTTAGAATAGTGAAAGTAGAGAAAAATAATTTTCCCCGGGATTTCTTGACGGGGAAAAAAAGTATAGTTGAAAACGGAATTTTTAAAATTAATTCATTTTAATGTCCAGTGAATTTGAACTGACCCAATCAAAGCATACAATGGAAATGGTATGCAAACATAGAACAAGCTCCAAAATGAAAGATGATATTTTTTAAAAGAAAAAAAAACTATAGTTTGTTAGTAAACCAAGCTTCAATTTAAATCAGAGAATCTTATGTATTGTAATAATTGAAAATCAGTTATACGTAGAGCAAATTTTGTAAAATACATTATATTTAGATAACTTAAAGATGATTAAAAGTAATAAAAAAGCTCTGTTTAAGTCCTTTATGCTTACAAATTTTCTTATTATGGTTATAATACTTTGCTGAGAGAGTTTACTTTACATGCACAACTTTAGTTAGATTTTTTTCCCCTTTGAAAAAAAGACATTTCAATTTAAAGTTTAGATTTTTTGTCAACAAAAGACTTTTAGATTAGCATTTAATTGATTCCAAGAATTATATATTAAATTAAGATACCATTTGTTCATTCAAAAATTGTTGTTTCAACTATAATGCAAAATAACTTTAAGAAGGCTTTATTGGACCAATATTCACAAATCTTGGCTCAATAAGTGTTCAAAGGGCCGTTATTTTCTAATATTGGCTCTAAATAGTATTGCTCGTTTAACCTGATATTTTACAGCCACTTTAGAACCAACATCAGCCTTATATAAAATTGTCAGTTTCACCCAATATTTTATAATCATTATTCAGTCAATAAAAGTCCTATAAATATAGAATCAATATTAAAAAACCTAGACACCCCAATATTGGTCTCTCAGTGCATGTTCATATAGGACTTATAGTGAGCCAAGGTAAAATTGTTGCTAAGGTAAATATGTAAAATTTTACAGAGAAACAGTTTAATGTTAACAAAAGTTATGAATAAGTTTTATAGAGGAGAGAATTTAAATATATTATATTAAAAATTTATAAGTCAAATGTAGCTAATTATAATAAGTGGACGGATTTAATAAAACCTTCCTAAAATTTACATACAATCTATAATTTATTAATATACTTTATATTATCATTAATCTATAATGCAATTAATAATTTATGCATTTATTGGAAACTGTATCTGTTTAATAAAACCATTGAGTATCAGTATTAAAACATGTTTCTTTACATGAATTGATAAATCATTGAAAATTAGTTAATATATTAGCAAGAATTTATCATAAGAAAATTGCTAGTTACTCACTTCTCGTGATTGAATTAAATATCTGACAATTCTACCCCTTAGTACAGCTAAAGTTTTACTGTCAAAGTCTGGCAAGCTAACACCTAAAAGAATGAAACAGTATTTCAGATAGTTTACAAGTAGTTTGGTGGTCCTATAAATTAAAATTAATAAATACATATTAATAAATATATATTAATGTTAAAAAACATCTGTATTGATAATTTTAAGATAACAAATTTGCAGTTTAAAATTTAATACAGTTTAACAGAGTACAGTGAAACCTGCCAAGTTGACCACCCTTGTAAGTTGGACACCTGCATAAGTTGACCTCAATTATCAAGAACGGAATTTTTCCTACATAATATAAAGAAGTAAAACCCTTGTAACTTGACCACCTGTCTATCCTGTATGTTGACCACTGAAATAAGTCAATTTTGTCTAGGAGTATAATGAAATTCCATTCTAAAACCCTCATAAGTTGACCAGAAAAAAAAAATTCAGAAAATTTTCTGTCATTTTGCAATGTATGTTAAAATGAAATGTATGTTGGTGAATTAGTGTAAAAAGCTAATCTAAACCCTTTTGCGAGTTGACCATCTGGGGAAACTGTAGGGGGTCAGCTTTTAACCATTTCTTTCATTCAAAACATTGGGCTGATGTAAAGTCTAATCAACAGCGCCAAACAACAATGAGGGAATATTTTTGTAACAAATAGGTTTGTAAATGTAGTAATAACAGAATAAATTTTAAAGTGTTCAAATAATTTTGTTTTGTTAAAGTTTTCAAATTTACATGTTTTCGTGTTCGAAGAGAAGATGGTGTTTAAGAAATTATTTTTATTAAACACTTCACATGCATAAATAACAAAATAATTTTTTTTAAGTCAAGTAAAAAAGATTTTTAAATACTGTATAGCAACATGATACAGTGTAAAGTCGCATATCCGGAATCGGTGGGACTTCCAGAAGTCCGTATAATAGATTTTTCCGTATAATAGACCCCCTAGGTAAACAAAGCTTAAAATGATTTAATAAACGATCTGAATCTAAGAAGCAAAAAATAAATAAACGTTATTTTTAAGGGGAACAATGTTTTAGCATTAGAATATCTAAATCAAATATAAAATATTAGAAAAAAAATATTATTGCTGAAAATATGGAAAACGAAAAAAATTTAACAGTTATGAAAATATTAATCCGCCATTTTGAACTAGAACGATTCAAGCAGGAAGGGGAAATTCATGTCATTCTGGAACAAAGCTTAAAATGATCTAAATCTAAGAAGCAAAAAATAAATAAACATTATTTTTAAGGGGAATAATGTTTTAGTATTAGAATATCTAATCAATAAAATATGAAATATTAGAAAAAAAATATTATTGCTTAAAATATAGAAAACGAAAAAAAATTGACATATGAAAATAATAATCCGCCATTTTTAACTAGAATGATTCAAGCAAGAAAGGGAAATTCCCGTCATTCATTAAGGTGGGTAGGTGGAGGAGAAAAATTCATTTCCTCCTTATTTGTGAAAGAAAATAAGTGTAAAGAGGAGATCATTTAAGTTGAGGGTGGGGAAGTAACAAATTATTGTTTTCTCTCCAATCATTGGCTATCAATCAAGCATAAAGGCGGGGCACGCTGATCAGGTTCTCTTTATTTTTTCTTCTATGACTGAAAGAATCTGCTAAAGAGAGAATGTTACCCCCTTTTTCCCCCCGCCTCCTAAATATTACATGGTATGGGGAAGAACGAATGTTTTGTTTCTCAAGGACATATATCCTTTTAGATCTATTCAAATTTTCCATTTTGACTCCCCCTTCACCTTAACGCTTGCCCCGTTTACCCTTTTCCACAGTATTTCTTCTTTCAATAAAAAGGTTCCAGGAAATGCCTCTTTTACTAGCCACCTGCATGAGAAAGGAGGGGGGGGGGACTCAGTTGCGATCTTTTGAAAACAAATATCCCTCTTTTTCCTACATTCCAAGGGAGGAGCATCCCTAACGGTCACTCAATGGTCTTGGTAGATCTTCACTTCCCCTTTCTGGTGATTTATGGGTTCGATGCGGAAAAGAGAAAATGTGTCAAAAGACTTCTTTTTTTTTTTTTAAGGAAAGGGGATGATGGAGAGATGTTTGTTTATTTTGATTGTTAAAAAGTGTCCGGGAAATCGACCCTTCCGGGAAAGGGACGTCGGGATATGGGACGTTACACTGTATAGGAAACGAAAAAGTAAACAATGACCCAGCCTCTCAATAAGTTGCCCACTTGTCTAAGTTGACCACTAAAACAATGCACCACAAGTGGCCAACTAACACAAGTTTTACTGTAGCTAGTACTTAAAAAGGACTTGTCCACTGATCAAAGAGTTAGAGGTTAAAAATACCCACTGTGAAATACACAATTTATAGGCAGAGAACCAATGAATGAACTAGTGGATAGATAACAATGGCATTGAAGACACTGTTAATAATTGGTTAATGTCCAGTTCTGTTATCTTACATCTTTTCTCCCCCCCCCCCCTATCATTTTAAAAAGGTATATGAGTGTAACATAAAGCCAAAAATAAGAAATAAGGATAGAAATTACGAAAATGTAGTCACTGGTTCATAGGATCAGCAACTTGATATAACTAGTCCATAAACATTTTCCTTGCTCTATTTACATTTTTATTGCCCCAATGTCTAATGTTGTTTTAGACTGTGTCATGACGGTTGTTAAATAATTTTTTCAGAAAAAGTCATTTATAGTGGTTCTGGACCAATGGACTACCACTAATTTTGAACAGATATATCTACACATTATTAACGACATCCCATAATTTCTTATGGTCAAAAATAATTTTTATAACATCTTGGATACAAATTTTGAGATAAGAATGAATCCAGGGTATCTGCTACATTTTAGATTTTCAAATTCATGATTTTCCATGATTAATTCCAAGAATTTTTTATGACTTAAAGAAGTTACTATTTTCTCCGACAAAAAGGTAATAATAAATTTAAAAAAAACATTTTAATAACATTCATTGAAATGATAATTACAGTGAATTCGCGATAACTCGAATCTGATAGGACTGACGAAAAACTTCGACATATCGGAAGTTCGACTTACCGTTAGTTTTGGTTTTGGACTTTGGATATTGTCGGATTATTTAATTAATGCTTATTAATTACAAATCTTCTAAATGCTTACAATATTTAAGATCATTTTTCTGACAAGCCATTTAGAATAAGACTGTTTGAAGCACTTTATGATACCCTGGTCCATCGGCTGCAACTTTGCTGTTGTGTTTGGTGGGAGAAACTGCAAGCTTACAGCTTTCAAATTAGGTAGATCACTATGCGCTGTGCATTTATCCATTAAGAGTATCACTTTTCTTTTTTTAGCGAAGAATTTCCAAACCAATTTTCTAACATAGAAACATCTAACTAACATAGAAACTAACACAGAAACATCTAACTTGAAACATCGGGAATTTCGGTATTTTCCGATAACAAGTAAGGGCAATTTCTAGCAATCTAAACAGAAATAAGTAAGTAGTTTCAGGTGTTGATGAGCAATAGCAAAAAGATGAAACTAACATTAAAGTATTAAAACTTGAATGTTACATTGATGCACAAGAAAGATCTTTAATGTCAATTCCAAGATCAACCAAAATAGGTTGGCCGAGAAAGAAATGTATGGATAAGGTTGTAAGAGACATCAAGAGCTTGAAAATAAGAAATTGGTATGACAGACTTGTAGTGTAGTTACCACTACAATTATTCAATTTCAATTCACTAGTATATAAGACATGTTAACTCGATTCTATCTGGAGTTACCTTTAGATAGATAATGGTTGACATTGTCAGTAGCCTAGCTCTACAGACTGCTTTGGAGCCAAATAATTAGGTATGTTATGGTTCAACTTCGATTGTAGCACCAGAAAGTAGGTTAAATAATATTGAGGCCAATTAAGAAAGAGAAGCCTAAAAAGAATTAGATTAGCAGTTCTGTGGACTGATGAAGTCGTTAATAGTAGAGTCGTTACTATATATTTAAAAAAAATTATGAAAGAAACTAAGTACAGAAACTGATGTATTAAATAAAATTATGACTAAGCAAGGAAGCAACATTCTAGGAATTTAAGAAGGCAAATGGCAAAAATGGCATTAAGTTCCTTATTTACTAAAGTTTATATTAATAAGCAATTTGTAATTCTATTAAAAGTAGGAATTTGATTAAAATGAACTTTAACAAAAGTCCTAAAAATGTACAAACTATTTTATACCTGTTACAAGGTCAACAAGAACTTGCCACTTTGGAACTTCATTTTCATAATGCTTGATTTCCTGCAAGTGTTTTCTATTCACACCAGCAGTTTCTAAAAGAAAAATTATAAATTCTTTTCAGAAATCAATGCATATATTTTACAAAACGGTGTATTTTTGCAAAAATAAAATTACGAAATTAAAATTATGCCTTTTTTCTTGGGCATCAAACAAAAATATTCAATTAATTATTAAAGAGATTTAGAATCATTTCTTGAAAGAAAATCAAAAACCGAGTAAGAAAAAGCAAAATGAATAAAAGAGAATTTATTAGATTAATTTAACCAGTGTTATTAAGATTGATAACCATTACATCATTTACGCATTTCTTTAACCAAATTAATCCTGGACTTTAAAAGATAGATTTTAAAGAATTAAAATGCAGAAATAATGCATACATATTTATTTTCTTTATATAAATGGATTTCAATTGAAATAGAAAATTTAAGTTAATGATTAGTAAATTAGAAACTAAAAAATGATGATTTGTAAAACAATGCTCAAATTAATATATAGAACAAAACAGTAGATAATTTTTTGCTATGATATAATAGTAAATTTTTTGTTGTGATGTAATAGTGAATGATACTGAAAGCAAAGCATTTCTCAATTTTTCCCTAAGAACTAAACATTAAATGTTATTCACAGTTGATAAGCATTTCAAATTTATAAGATTACATTTCATTAGATCAATTATGAAGAAAAAATTAAACAAAATGTCAAAGTATCTGAAATAAATTCATTTTATAACAAACCTTCTTCGAGAACTGAATCCTTTGGATCTCTGAAAAAAGAAAGAAATTAATTAAAAACCTAAATAAAGTCATCTTTTCGATAAATTTTTCAGTTACTCATTAAAACATTACACAGAGAATTATTTCTTTATCTTTTACTAAAGCTATTGAAAATAAAAGTAATTGTATACTTAAGTAAAACAAAAATTATATAAAAATATGTTTTTGAAATATTGCTATGTCTTTTATTTCTTTAAAACAATAAGGCTGTATTGACAAATGGTCAAATTTTAAAAACATAAAAGTAAATGTAAGTTTTGCTTAAATTTATTTATTTATTATATTTCTTTTTTGAAAATAAAATTGACATGAGATTTATTGGTTTAAAAATAATACTGAATATCTAACAAAATATTTATTTTACATGGATCATCTTTACAAATGGTCAAATTTTAAAAACATAAAAATAAATGTAAGTTTTGCTTAAATTTATTTATTTATTATAATTTTTTTTTTGAAAATAAAATTGACATGAGATTTATTGGTTTAAAAATAATACAGAATATCTAACAAAATATTTAATTTACATGCATCGAAAGAATTTTAAGAAAAATTGAAAAAAAAGTAATAGTACTATTGTTAAATTAATAAAAACCTACTTTGAAGACCTCAAAACATCGATTAATTAGCTTTTCAATTAAAAAATTTTTTTTGTTTCACTAATAAATGCAAAAAAAAAAAAAAAAAATTATAGAATTTTGAATAAAAACAACCAAAGATCCATAGAGTTAAAAATAATAACAATAAAAAAAATACATAGATTGAGAAATTTTTAAAAAAATTAAGAAAAAATGGTAATGAAAACTGACATAATACCAAGTTATGTACTAAATGTTTTTGTATAAAATAATAAACATAATAAATATATGAATAATAAATATAATAATAATAAAATAATAAAGGTGAAGTAACTAATAGCCGAATATAGAATAAATAAATGTAGGGTATGCTTCAATTTTTTATAAATAAAAACGACTGAAGATATATTTATTTAAAAATAATCAAAGTCTATCAAATTATCATACTTCTGTGCATTTAAATAATTAAAAAACAAGAAAAGAAAAAAAAATATACTAACTTTTTATAACATAGTATAAATTATTTAAATATAAAATACTGTTACTAAATTGTATCGCTTAAAAAGTGGGGGGGGGGGGGAAAAAAAAAANGGGGGGGGGGGAAAGAAAAAAAAACGATCAAGGAAAAATTAAAATTTTTGTTAACAATTAGGACAAAATATTGCACAGTGATTGTAAACTAAGGGTAGGCCTAAAAATAATCGACAAGAAACTTTGTTAAATCCGAAGAAAATTATGCACACCAATCGCAAAGCAACCTAAGTCTCACTGAAAATAATCTTCAAGAAACTTATAATCCTTCGGAAAAAAATTTGGATAAAGAAACTATGCATCGTGTTCTCCATTTCAATGCTGACCCATGCAATAACACTGGACTTCGGATTCAATTTGCTCTTTGCAATTCGACATCACCGTCATAGCTAGACATCAAAGTAGTCTTCACAGTGCGGTAACGATGTTAGCCCAGGCAAGGATAATTGCATTTTAAATCATTATATCATGAGCGTCTTTCTATATCAGTGGCTTAAACCAGAATTTTGATGCTTCATGAAAAATGAAAGTCGCTATATTAGCATAATGATGTATGCATTAAATGAATATTTCGGGATATATTGATTTATTGTCTTATTTAAGACAAAAGTAAAAATTTTAAAATAAATTGGACATAGAGCTCCTGAACAATAACAGTTTATAAATACCACTTTTTAAGAAAAATTATAAACTTTTTAAAATCCTGATTCTTAAGAAATTTTTAGGTTGCAGCTTTGTAATATTTCATGGGGTAAGTATTAATTTAGCTAAATAAAGGGTATGTGTAGAGAAAATATGTTTTATGCCAGGTAACATAATTAGTAGTGATATGGAATATAATAATAATTAATAGACTTCTCAAATTATGAAGTATAAATTTGAGGACATAGAAAATAATCATTGAGTAAAAAACTTGAATATGCAACGTAAATATATATATATAAAAGAAACAAAAGAAATTCTGAAGTATCCGTATAAAAAAATATTTTTGTTATCACCTTTTTTTAATTTAACACAAAATAATAAATTAAAATTTACTCACTGCAGGTCAGAATCTTCAAACATCTCTTCTGCATCAGAAAATGTTAAGAGACTTTCTACGGCGATTTGCTGCTGAGCTAATCCAAAGTAAAATTCTTTGTCAGTTTATTATATAATTCAGTAAGGACAAATGCATAATATTGCAATTTTAAATTATTATAACTCAAAAATGGAATCTTAACTTTCCACAACACATATTTTACTTGCTTAACTAATCTAGACTCATGGATCCAGATTTGAATAATATTTGACCACTATCTTGACCAGTTTCGAAGTTAAAAAAAAAAAAAAACATTCTGCAATAAATAATAGCTTTTAAAAAAATTATTGTATTGAAAAATTTGAAATACACACATAAGAGGGAAAATTGGAGTTTCTTATAGACAAAAGTTCAAATTTTAATGGAGGAAAAAAAGAAAAGCCTTGGTTGATCATATTTAATAAATTTCTGTCTTTGTGCAAATAGAAAGTTTTTTTTTTCATTATTGTAATATGTTGAGTAATGTAATAGCTGCAAAGTGTTTAATGAAAGGAGAGGTAAAAAATAATTCAATGAGTCTGAGAAAATCGGCATTAGAAAGTACGGTAACATAAGAAAGCAAATTACAAGATATCCTTTTCCATTGATAACTGCTTTATCTAAAGATTTAGCAGAATAAATTAATACTTAGAGTCAACCATAATTTATCCCAATTAAGGAAAGTTGAGTTTCATAAAATTACACTTAATATAATTTCCACTAATTTCATTTGTAGGGTAACACCTCATCTTCCATTCATTGAGAGTTCATTTTGATTGAGAATTATATATAAGTTGAAGAGTTAGGTACGCTATTTTTTACATGAGCGAATTGTATTATTTTCCAGAATTAAGAAGAAAATAGGATATTTAAATAATTACCTGTTTGATCCTTTAAAAGGTTATATTGTTTCATGAGAGACCAATGCATGTACAATATTTTTGCAGTGCGAGATGGTAAGAAAACAGATGCATTCGAATCTAATAGAGCTTGAAAAACTTCTAAACTACCTTTATCCTAGAAAAGAGTATAAATAAATACACATCACATACATACACATACGTTAAATTATTCAATATTAGGTAGAATTGCAGGGATAATTAATCAGCCATTTTTTATTCTTGTACCTAGGAAATTTGAGACATAATTAATGAATATATCTGTTCTGAATGATGTAAATTAAAAAATATATACAAATAAAAAGCATAATACATGAAAAGTAAGCAATTGTATGCAAATAAAAGTTATATACTTACAAAAGGTACAGAAGCAATCAATTTTTCTTCTTCTTCACTAAACAGTACCTTTGCTCTAATTTGAGAAATAATATCAGTATTAAGTTGCTTTATTGCAAATACTGCTGGCCTAAAAAAGAAGTAAAAAAAGTTTGAGAAGACTTGTAAGAATTTGAAGCAAAAAATATGCAAACCAAAAAATTTAAAACTATTGAAATATATAAGAAAATATCTTTAAGTCCTGATTCGTTGGGGGCAAGTAAAAATTGAAGTCAAAATATTTAAAAACAAAATGTTTTTGTGTAATCAAAGTATAATAATGAAAAATATACATTTGAAATTACTTCTCATAACAAAAATGTTAGTCAGTAGAAAATACTAGTAACAAATAATCACTTTTATAAATTTTAATAATAAATTACACGGTAAATTAGATTTATATTAAGTTAATTGAGTTGATTTAATGCTCACATTAAGTAAATACCATACTATTTTTCACATAATTGTTCAAGAAAAGAAGTAAGGTTTTGATGAATCCCAGTGCTCCCTTGTGAGCTTTGAATTAATATACTTGTATTACCTAAAATGAGTCAACCCTACATAAAATCAGAGTCATTACAGAAAGAAAAAAAGAAACTAAAATATTTCACCAATTGGACTTTTCAAGTTTTAAGTCATTGGCACAATAAGAAGCACATGTGAAATCCTTCCTAACATTTGCTGAACATGAAAAACATAGTGAATTGAGATGCCTCTTTATAATAAGTTTTTATTACAAGAAAAAATGAAATTATAAAGTAAGATGATGATAGATAATAACAATAATTTATAAATGAATAAAATTAAGAAATGATATGAGAAAAAAAATTAAGAGAAAGATATTGGAAATCATCAAAATGTGAAGATACAAGTTGCAGAAATCTGGATAAATGTCAGATAAACAAATATAGCATATACTACTTAGAACAATTGGGTTTCAACCGATACTAATTTAAACGAATTTAAAATACTTACTTTGAAACTGATGCATCATACAAAAGGGAGTACCATCTTTCTTGAACTTCTCTGAGTGAAAATGGTGAAGAAAACTTTACTCCTCTGTACACAGTCTCAATACTATTTGTCTGAAACATTATTTATGAATAAATTTTTGGCAAGAATAACGTTATTATATAAAATTCTTAATCACGTTATTATATAATATTCTTAACTTAAATAGAATAAATACAATATTTGAATAGTTTCCAAATTACACAGAAAAAAAAGTGGAATTTTTTAGTTTTGTCATCATTTTTCCAACTTAAAAAATAAACTTGAAAATTTATGTATTATTTTTAACAGTTTTATACTATTACATATTAGTTTATTTTTAAATATTAAACACCTAATTTTCTTTTCCCTTAAACCCTAAAATACCATTTAATTGACAAGGAAAGTAGGCGGGTAAGAAATAAAAAGTGGAGCTTACTATTTTGTTTAATTAAACCTGATTTTTTAGACTTGAAAAACAAATAATTCCATAAAATAAAAATTTTATTAAATATAATAACAGGACAGTTTTAACAAGGTTCTGTCATTCAAATCTGTTTGTTTTAATTCATAGCATCCGTGAAACGCTGTGGTTGAGCCTCAAAAAATTAATAGCAAAACCAAAATCATGCAATATTTTTCACAATTATAGTACACTCCATATTGAATTATTTTTTTATTCCGTTGAAATAACAAAGGTTTAAAAGTATGAAAAATTTTTCAAATACTTAAAATATATAAATTTATTTAATATAATAATTGATTTTATAAAACAGCAAATAAAATAATATTTTTTATCATAATTAACTAAAGTGAAAACTGGATAAATCGAAATAAATACATCTTTAAACATTTAAATTAATATAAAATTCTTAATTAAAAGACCGTTAGTAGAAGGATAAGTTGCCAGTATAACTGAAATTATAAAAAAAGCTTAAATAAAACAAATAAAAAGTAATGTACCTGCTGAACAGATAAAACTAACATCAAATCATCAGTAGGTTTCCATCGACTCACATCTTTGGTTACATGAGATTGATTATTCTATTCAAAATTTATTCTTTATTATGAATCAGAAAAATGACATAATTCAAACATTTAACATTCCATTATAAATAAAAACAATATAAATATTGCATTGTGCAATTTATTGAATGTAAATTATCTTAAATACATAAATCATACTTTTCATTAATAGTTAAATTGTATTTCATGACACATTTTAACATGAAATCAACTTCAAAACATTTATATTTAAAGTTAATTAATAGCAATATTTTTTACATTAATTGCATGAAAATGTTGCAAATTTAGACCAAAGTTATCTGGTGATAGCCGAGGTGTTGAACCACACACTTTAGGAATTCTAGAATCAAGAGAACTAAAACTTTAAAATTTGAGCAAATTTTTGTTTTGTTTTGTAATTAAAAGTAATAATAATTAACTTTTAGAAGAACTTCCAATCTTTTTTTCAACATTAGAATTAAAATTTATTTAAATATTTGTATAGTCATTACCTTTAATATGCAGGATTTTCCGAATTCGATCAAAACAATTCAGAGGCGTGATAAAAAGTGCTATTAAGTGACCTTATTCGACCACTGGTCCCGTAGGGCTGCAAGTGCTAGACATCTACTAAGGCAGCAGAAAAAAAACTGCTAATCATTAAAAGAAAAATTTAGAAGGAAATTTATAGCCTCGTGAATGAAAATAACATAAGGTGACCACTTAACAGCATTAAGCTCTACAACAAATTTAAAGAGCTCAACGTTCAAATCATTAAAGTAAGATGGCTAGGACACTTGTAAACATTCAAAGATCCCAATCTTGCAAGAACTTTTGAAAAACCCTCTGGAGCCAAGAAAAAAAGTCCCTCAGCCATCAGATTGCCGAAAGACTGATAAAGATCTTGGTGTGTTAGGTGTCAGAAATAGGGGAAAAGTGGCTTTGGATAGCGGACTAGAAAACCCTGGTCCTATTCTAGACTGTAGTAACGAAGAATCAGTATTATTTACAATTTATGTTATATTTGAAGACTAAAACATAAGAAAACATTCTATAAGAGGATAACATCATAAACTGCCCTACATTTGTACTTCATCAACAATCTCGAGATAATTTATAATATAAATTAAGAGTTTAAACTTTAAACAAATTGCATAATTTAACAAAGTTGTACAGTCCGCAAAAAAAAAAAAGATATCACCCTGAATAACTTTCATTCTAATGATCGGATTTTCACGAACTAAGTGTCAATCTTAATGGTTCCTGGGGGTGACCTCAAATATGCTAATTAATTAGTGCTAACTATTAATTAAGTTACGAAATCAGACACAAAAACGTACTTTCTCTGAATAAACAT